TGCTAGAGGGGAACATCAACTAGAAGATGCATTTGGTAATGTTTTGGACCATCTTCGTGTCTAGAAATTATGAAGTCCATTTTGGCTTAGTGACACTTTTTCTAGTAAAATTTAAATGGAAATCATTGATTTTTGGTTAGAACCTAGTCTGGAAGAGCGGGGCTAGGGACATATTCAAGGGGAAACGACTGGAGGAAATTTGATTGGATGTTGATGTCTCCTGCAGCAAACTTTGATACTCAAAATTCATTCTCTCTCTGTATCAGACCTTAACCTATCCTGCTTCTTAACCGCGGCAAGCTGGGACATCACGCTGCTGTTCGCTAATCAGAACAGCGTTTTGGAGATGGACATTGACAGCTTTGAAAGTTCATTATACAATTACACTAACCATATTTCATGTGCTGGTATGAAGGCAATGCACCTTGGGCCGAAGAAGCAATGACTTGTGCAAATGAACTTCAACAGCCCTTCATTATGACGGGGAGTTGGAGGGGATAAGGAAAGATGAAATAAAGGAAAATTGAGCTTTCTTATAGCTAGGGATGTAGTTGAGGGTTTTATTTGTATCCAACAGGCATATTGAGTTGGGATTAATTATGACTTGAAGCCTGATTCTCTCTTTTCTAACATTAGAGAATATTTCAATGGCTGCTTCAAGTGAATTGGAATTTGCACCAGAGAAAAGAAAATATAGCACCATTGATAAATTCTTCGTCTCTCTTTTCACCATAACTTTTGCAGTAATGAATGCTTTCCTCTTTGCCTATTTTCGCCAGTGGTAGTCCACTTGAGGTTAAACCAATTAAGAGCAGTTTTCATTTCCAGGTTCGACTAATCGGATTGTTGGAAAGTGTCAGCTAATTTAAACACACAGTTTTTGCATCACAACCCCAACAAAACCTTCAATGAAAATCAAGTCCATTGAGAGTACCGTGTATCACAAGAATATCGAACCCCTGGCAGCAGCAACAATTCTAGATTCATTCAAGTTGAAAACAGTTGAGCTAGAAATTTCCAGGATGGGTTTTTCAAGCATTTGCTTGTATGGTAAGCCGGTGGTAATAAGGCGTGAAGTTCTTGAAGATATTTTGAAGGATTTGCAAAGTGGGGTTTTTCAGTTTTCTGTGAAAATGAGATTTATAAATTCAACATACTTGACCATAAATGCACGTATCTTTTTGTTCAAAAAGCTCAATTTCAATCTCCCATCCTCAAAATAAAAAAATATAGAGAAAAATTATTTACTTAACGGAAAAAGATAAGACTGGAATATTGTAATTGACGAAGTCCGTAAAAAAACCAGGACTAAGAAGTAAGGCAGAAACCAACAGTGCTCTGAATTATAGCCAACAAAAAGCCTTGGCTCCAATCTTTTACCATGCATGCACATTAATAGTGTTATACACTAAATGATAAATATGGGAAGATCACAAGATGCACGAATGCTAGCTAGTTATGTTGAAATTGTGTATATGAAGATGAGTGGTTCAAAGGCTTGGCATATCTGGTTGATTGATTCTTTTTTTTTTTTTTTTTGTAATGCAATCTGAGTTTTTTTAGGTTTCATTGGGCTTAATCTCTTTCTCAAACAATTTTAAGGATGATTTTTCACATTAATTCAGTAAATTTATAATTTTATTTTTAGAGTGTTCTCCACAATTTATTTTTTTTTTTGGGTTGAGTGATTCTTTTATTATAAATCAACTTTATACTTTTTCATTCAAAAAATATATGAATTGTGTACTTATGTTGACTGATCATTTTATCTGTTCAATTTAATTAATTTCTTTAAATTAATTTTATCCCTCGCAATTATAATATATTCATCTCATTTTTATCTCCATTTCGTCGTTTTCGTATAACGCACAATTGTGAAATATGAGTAGAGAAATGCAATATACCTACGTTCATGTTTGCAAATTTGCTATCTCATTGAAATTTTATAAACTAAAATGCCATATATATATATATATATCCATATTTGTAGAAAAATTCAATGAGATTCAAACTCATCTGTTCCGAAAGATTTCTTTCATGGTCGACTCTTATTATTGTCTTGTACATTTAAGATCATGATAATTTATGACTAAAAAACGCTAGCAGGAAATAACTAAGCATCAATTTAGGACTATTATTCTACACATCATTGATGAAAATTTTAAATATTACGAACGAGATTAAAATATTATTATGTTTTTTTTATCTATCATATTAATTTGTTGATTATTTTATTATCATGATTTTTCGTTTATAAAATTTAAAATTTTATAGCACAATAAACGGAATAATATATATTTCTTAATTTAATTAAGAACCAATTAGCATAGTGTTTGCCGTAAGGGAGGATTCCGATTTTGATAGAATGGGAAAGTGCCGTTTTTAACCTGTAATGTCAAACAATTAACACAATTAAACATGATTAATATTAAAATATTTAATCAATAATTTAATATTAAATCAAAATGATAATATCAAAAACATATTAAAATACAATTATATACATGTTATAAACATATTATTTATATGTTGACATGATAACAAGATTAAAATATGATTAATTAATTAATCGTGTCTTAAATGTGTAATACGCATAAGATATGAAATACGACACGTATAACAATTCAAGGGTATACGAGATTATGTTCATAAAGTAAATATTCATTTAGGCATTGTAATGTTAAGGTGTAATTGCATAAAGTAATTAAAAATATTATAATCAACCATTGCAATCATTAAACATATAAATGTATATTTATCATAAAAATAAAAAAAATGTAAAAAATATAAACTTACCATAATATGTGTATTACTCTTTTTTAATAATTTTTTGATAATTGAATTTATAATTTTGTATGAACTTTAATATTAATTAATCTAAATTAAATAAATAAAAAATAAAAATATAATTAAAGACTCATCATATGTACCATTAAAAAAGATAAAAAGTAAATTAGATGATTCCTTGAAAATGAAAAATTATATACTTTACTTAAGATAAAGTTAAATGTTTTGAGGGCATACACATTACGATATAATAATTTAGACTAAAATAATTAGTAATTGAGAAATAGTGAAAATATTTTGTCTATGTTTTATTCAATATCACATGACTCATAATATGCCATAACTCATTGGGTGAGAAATGTATTTTATATGAATTTGATTGAATTATTACTTATGAAATTTAACAAAAAAGAATTCTAAAAATAAAGATGAGAGTAAATTTGAGTTAATTTTGGATAACAAATCCACCATATCTCATAAATAAATGTTTAATATAGTGTAGTTTGATATAAATTTTATTTGTAAATTTTTAATTGATTTAAATTTAAATAACTAACGAATAAAAAATTATATATTTAATGATAAATAATCATTATTAAATAAATAAATAATGCTAGAAATTGAAATATAAATTTGTTATTTTTTAAAAATTTATAAAGGTATTTATGTTATTCATTTTTAACACTTTTAGATTTAAATTTAAATAACTAACTAATAAAAGCTATATTTTTAATAACAAATAATCTTTTTTAAATAAATAAAAATGCTAAAAATTTAAAGGTAAATTTGTTATTTCTTAAAATTTATAAGGGTATTTATATCGTTCATTTTTAATATTTTTAAAGTTTACACTTTTATATATAAATAGGTATAGATAGATAGATGCTATATATATATATATATATATATATAATTTTTCCATATTTACAAAAACATTTAATGGGATTCGAACTCTTTTATGCCAAAAGATTTATTCGAGGCTTGACTCTTACTATTGTCTTGTAAATTTAAGATCATTATAATTTATAATTAGAATTGATAATTCGTGTTATCATGTTATATTTCGTGTCAAATACGATACGAATAATCTTGATATAAATATTACACGGATTCTTAAATAATACAAATAATCAAAACATGAATACGATATGTTTGTTGTACATGTTACACGTAACAAGACACAATTAATACATTTTAATCTGTTTTAAGAATGAGTAGCATAACATGACACGATTAACACGATTAAACATGATTAACATTAAAATATCTAATCAATAATTTAACATTAAATCAAAATGATAATATCATAAAAATATTAAAATATGATTATATACATGTTATAAACATGTCATTTATACATGATACTATAATTAAAATATAATTAATTAATTAATTATATCTTAAATGTATAACACGCATAAAATACGAAACATGACACGTGTAACATTGTATCTTAAACGTGTTGACATAATTAAAACACAAAACATGATTACCAAAAATATATATAATTTATTATATTTCATTTTCGTATCTAAACACATCATTATATTTATTTATAATTGTCAGGTCTATTTATGACTAAAAAAACGCTAGCAGAATAACTAAACATCTAACTAGGCATGCATATCCAATAATAAAAAGACAATGATTTTAAATTTTGGATTATTATTATACACATCATTGACGAAATCTTTAAATATTACAAACGAAATTAAAATATTATCTTATATTTTTTATCTATCATATTGATTTGTTGATTGTTTTACTATTATGAATTTTCCTTTATAAAATTTAAAAATTTCATCCCACAATGTACGAAATAATATATATTTTTAATTTAACTAAGAATCAATGAGCATAGTGTTTACCGTAAGGGAGGATTCCAATTTTCATAGAATGGGAAAATGCCGTTTTTAACATGTAATGTTAAACGAATAAGATTGAGTAGTAGACAAATCCACCAACTTCCATTTTGTCTATTTTTGCCCAAAAACTTCAAACAAGAAAAGTTCTAAACATTGTATTAATCATATCACAATATTTTTAACACAATATTTTGTTCCTTAATTTCTGTTTCACTTCCTTTCCTTGATTGATTCCATCCTCAATCTTTTCTCCTTTCTGTTTCAATTCATCTCCTTGATTTCATCCTCAATCTTCTCTTTCTCTTTGTTCTTTTTCAGAGAAATCCCAAGAGAGAGAGTTAAAAAAAAATGTCTTCTCAATCCGAAGATCATCAAAACAAACGGGATCAATCAAATCATCAGTCATCTTCGTCGTCAGATACAAATAACAATCACCAAACACCACCGCCGCCATCAGAACCGCCTAACAACCAATCACCGGCACACGGTTATCCGCCGGCGATGGGTTACCCGCCACAAATGATGTATCCCAATGCCCCACACCCTGGCTACCCTCCTCCTCCACCCCATGGTTATAACCATTACCCTTACACGCAACCACCGCCAGCCTTTTATTATAGTCAGGGTTATCCATCTTCCCAACATGATCGATGTTCAGGATTTGCTCGTGGAATTATTGCAGCTATGATTCTTTTAATTGTTCTTTCCTGCCTCTCAAGCCTAATCACCTGGGCAGTTTTACGCCCACAAATCCCAGTTTTCCATGTAGATAACATGTCTGTCTCCAATTTCAATACCTCATCGACTCCTTTCACGGCAACGTGGGATACAAATCTTACACTCGAAAACCCAAACCATAAGTTAAGACTTTACTTCGATAGAATCGTGGGTGCTATGTTTTACAATGAAGAAGATTCCTTGGGTTCTGCTTGGCTCAACCCCATTTTCATGGACACCCAAACCAAAACCACGATACATGCTGTCATTTCCGCAAATGGTTCAGCTCAAAACGCGGTGCCGATTTGGTTAGCACAAGAAATGGGCAAAGATCGAGCCACAGGGGCCGTGAGTTTTGCCTTGAGATTTCGGGTGTGGGCAACGTTTAAAAGTGGGTCGTGGTGGACGAGGAGTTTGATACTGAGAGTTTTATGTGACGATTTGAAGGTTAATTTCGTGGGCGCTTCAGGAAATGGAGCATTATCACCTGGAAATCGTGACGATTGCGAGGTTTATGCCTGACTAAATTCAATCTGTTCATTTTTAAAAAAATTTTTTCTTGCTTAATTGGTTTTGATCCTTTTTTTTTTTTTTTTTATGGAATTACAAGAAAACAATTGAATAAAAGGGTCAATTAATTATATAATCTTGGGTGGAATTCGGTTGTGATTTGGAAATTCAGGAATTTGTTAACATATAGATTTTTTTTCTTGTTTTGAACTTTTAGATATACTAATATACTACCATGTGCCCCTCCGTATTGGGTGTGAAAAAATCGAAAATATCATAGAAAAAAATACAAAATATACAGGGTTGATTTTTTTTTTTTGGGGGGGGGGGGAGATGGTGGTTTAATTTTCATATTTCATCGTTTAAATGAATGAGGACTAGAGAAATGCAGAAATTATATGAAATTTAATTTGAAATTAGTAAACAGGTTATTTATGGGATGATAACTTTGAGATAATTGGAATTCTAGTTCTGTTCAATTAACATTTTGTTTTTGGTTAAGTCCTGAGTATTTGATTATTCATGCATTGGTTAAAATAATATCACCTTAATTGATTAGTACCAATAGACACTTACAAAACATTTCCTTTTATTATAAATGGTCAGTGACATTAATTTGTTTTTTATTTAACTTTGCATGAATTGTATGTGAAATTCAAGTTTATGAATAAACAAATAATGTTTTGTTGAGCCTGAAACTGCAATTAGAATAGTTTTTTTTTTTTTTTTAATTTGAAGAAATGAATATTTGAACCTGCCGCTTAAGTTGAGAATACACATCTATTATTGCATTAAATGCAGATACAGTAGATTTTTGTGGCAAAGCAAATAAGTTTTTCCTTTTTTTTTCTTTTTTTTTTTTTTGCCAAAATGCAAACTTTGAATCAGACCAATCAGATGAATCTTTGAAATTGAAAGATGATAGGAATGACAAAAGGCTTTAGTTAGTAGCTCGATCCTTTGCTAGTTGTGAACAAAGAGGAATAAATGGAAAGCAATAAGAATAAAAAGACAATTGTGAAGCATTTCGAATTTCTTTTATATATTTTCAGTAACAATCATCCTTATATATTACATTACAGGTTTTTTTTTTTTTTTTTTGTATTCTAAATATATAGTACTTAAAATATTATGGTATGATTGAAATAATTTAATGTATAAGAGTAATCTTTTATGTAATATATATGATTTTTATTCTTTTTGAGAATAGTATATTTGATTTTAATAAAAAAATTTTTTTTCTATATATAGATGGATGTTTATGAATTTGTTAATGTAAGGATCTTAATCATCCCTCTCTTTCTTGGTAACATTCAATATTTCTATAAATAAAGTGATTTTCATATTTTCCTAAGATCTAATTGCAGTTGTTAATTAAATTCTCTTCTCTTTCCATTCTTTTGATCATGCAATATTTCACACATGTTAAGTCTCATTTTTGTTAATGAATCGAGCGGAAATTATTTCAATATGGATTTTAAAACTTAAAGTTTAATCATATAATATTATATTACAATATACATAAAAATCTAATAAAATTTACTTACATGAACATTTAGGTACATAGTTTTTTTGAATGACACATCAAATAATACTAAATAATTATATTATATATTATTAAAATAATCATATATCAAAAACATTTAACTAAATCATTAAGTAATAATAAATATTCAAATATTAATTTTAAAATGGATAAAAGGATATATGATTATTTACTTTATTTAGTATTATTCAAATTTATTTAAAATATTCAAATTTGTTTAAATTGATAAGAGCATGCATAAATTACTATTTAAAAATTTTGGTTAATGGACTTAAAAATATCCATCTTAATTCTTTTTTAAATTTTTAGTTAAATAAGCGGATAAAAACATCTATTTAAATAAATGGAAAAAACATGTTCAGTTATTTATATTTTAAAATACTTGATGTAAAATTAAAAACATAATAAATTTTTGCTATTCTATTCCATCCAATACTTATTTCTTTACTCTTTCCTTTCTAGATTTCTTCAAATTCTTCATTTAAAAGTATTTTTTACATTCATATTTCTTTTTCAAAACTCTATTTCCTCTCTTAATTTTCTTAGTCTTATTTTCTTTTTCTTTTTACAATGATTTATATTATCAATACAAATAAATAATGGATCTTTTCAAAAAAAAATATTTTTTTCGTTTCCTTGACGTATGTGATTTATTTTTAAAAGGGTTTCCATCTTTATTTTCATGTAATTTTTTGGTAACATATATTAGTTCTATTATATATAAAGAGTTTTTCTTTATCATTCCTCTTTTTTTTTTTTATAATGCATGAAATTTTTATCATAAGTGTATGTATGCATGAAAAAGATAAATATGTAGAGGATTGAGGAATGGTTTAAAATCTGACAAACTTTTTTTATTCGACTTCCTAAATCACTTTTTTTTTTAAATTTCAAATTCCTCTATTCTTTTGATCGGCTTCATTATTAAATTTCAGTTGCACTTTATTTTAATTATCAGTTTTTCTTCTAATCTCCTAGGATTTATAAATACTTATTACATTTGAATTTTATGTAAACCTTTCTTTTATATAGCAAATTTCTCTTTTTTTACCAATTAAGCAATTAAATTTATGAAATGAATTTAATTAAAAATTTCAATGTCTTAAATATTTACTAATAAACTTTTCTAAATTAAGATGGAGGTCAAAAAGTTATTTGAAAATTTTGTTGATAAATTATATTTTTTATTTTGAAATTTCTATACTTTTAATTTATGAAATTAAAAATCAAATCAAAGATTTTAATATTAAATTATAAATTTAATAAAAAATAAAAAAGAGAGAAGACAAATATTTAATGATAAAAATAAAAATTTGAATCTACAAAAATTCTATGTAGATTTTTAACGAATTAAATTAAATATTATTATAAATATAAAAATCCTGTGCTTTTGCACATAAAAACCTAGTTAGTTAATATATATCGGGTAATATATTGTTCAAAATCTAAAAGGTTTGAATTTGTACCTACAAAATTTTCTATTGATTTACCAAATTTTAGGAATTCAAATTCATTTTTGAAAATTTTACATTCAACACCTAACTAAAATTTACATCTAAGTCATTCTACTAGTAAATTGAATTGGTCTATGTTTTAATATTATTATTTTTTACATTTTCTTAACTGCTTTCTACTTGTTTGTATCCATTGAAGATTGTCTATTCTTCTACATGAAAAAAAAAAGGAAAAAAAAACTGGTTTCCATCTTGGAAATTACGAAAACTAAAAGAACCCAGAACCAAAATGTTAAGGTTTTTGGGTTTGGCTATGATAAGCTTTAAAACAGACACGTTTGATCCCCTAATTTGAGTCAACAGTGATGCAAGTGGAAGGAACGTGACAAGGCGGCAATTGGTGTGGCCTTTTAACTTTATATAGCAGCGACCCTATGCTATATCGATATCAATATATCCCTGATTACACTATGAATGACGTAAGGTATGGAAATGATAAGATTCCTGATCATTGTGATAGGATAGACAACTGCATGGACTCCTGTTTGAACCCTGTTAAGACCTGACTGGACAGGTAATTTGAAAGAGATTTGGTCATCTGTGTCCAGTGAGGGATTACCAGAGTTCAATAGGGTGTTGATTTTTCTTTTTCCAGCCTTTGTTTAATTCTTCAGTTGTCTACTTCTAGTTGAACCTTTGTTATTAGATTTGTCTGTTCACGTATTTATATCTTATAAAATATAAAATACATTTTTTTACTCGTTACTTAATAACTTTCTCTTAATAATTTCATCCAAGTTTTACCCGTTCGGTTAAAGATTTTCATCGTCAAAACTAATAATTAGAGACATGTTTTCATTGTCCTTTTCATGTCGAAATCTACGCTTTTTAATTGATTGAATATTCATAAAAAACAAATTTCCCACATGTCATGTCTTTCTCGTCATGGACTTAAAACGTTGTAGTATTAAAATTAGTGTTGGATGCATGCTTGTGCTCAAGGAAAAGAAACAAGTAAGGAATTGCACTGAATGGAGTCCAGGGACCAATTATTATGCCATGGCACCACATAACGTTTCATTTGACAACAAAATTTGCCCAATAATATATTTTGTGATTAATTCTTTCATGTGTATCAACCCACATCTTCCTTCATAATTTTTGGCTTTTTTTTTTTTTTGCCTGTGATTTTTGAGATTAAGGTGAACCTTACTACTATAATATAGATCAATATTGAAATTTGTCACTATATTCTATTTTTCTTCAAATTTGTCATTATATTTTAAATTTTGTTGATTTTTGAACATAAAATAATGAAATTAATTAAAATCTTAGAGATTTGCTTTAATAAAATATTTTATGAAATATTTTAATTCCATTTTTAGTTAAAAAATTACCAAAATTGAAAGTACAATAATAAAAAAAAATATTTATCACTGAATCAAATGTTGAAATAAAATCTTTAAATATCTATTAAATATGAGTTATCCATAATAATTTCATGCAATAGACATTCATATTCTCAAAAAGTATGAATTGAAAATGAATGCAATAAATAAATAGTATATAACATATTCTAGTTATCAGCGTACTTACATTGCTTCTTCTTATCCATCACTTACCATATAGCAATCCTCTTCCCCTCAATTGGTCTTTGTCATAATCATATTGATGGAAAATACCATTTCTTGTCTCACTTCTTTTATACTCAGAACTCCATGCATTAGAGTTTAATCACTTCACTTCAGAGTTTAGGGAGAAAATTTTTGTTTTATTATATCCTATGGCTTGATTCCCGAAAAATCCATTCTTTTCATTTTCGATCTTTACCCCACTGTTGTAGTTTGGAGTTTCTGCCACGAGATTTCCCTGTCAATCAAATTGTTCCTTCCCTTCCCTTTCCCCACGGTTTATTTTATTTTGCCACTTTTTTCGTTTTTATCTCTTTCAGGAGCCATGAATTTTTAGGGAGGCGCAAGCACTTTTTTTTTTTCCTTGGAAAGGGTCTAATTGGACGTGGATTACACGCTCTGAAATGGTAATGTTCTGAAAGTAGACGAAAAAGAGAGAAAATTAAAGTAAAAGAATAAAAGGGCTTGGAAAAAGAATATACTACTACAAAAATCAGAGAATTAAGACTTTTTAGAGGTTCAAAAAGATTTATGGTAGCGACTATATGCAAACATCAAGCAAAGAGATGGGAATCAGCTTAAATCTTTGTGCCCAAAAGCTGACTTTTTGGATCGACATAGTTGGTGAGATGTCAATTTTTTCTTTATGGAGAATTTAATTTTTTTTTATAGGGGTATTAAATTTTGAAATAAAAATAGAGATTTGTGAATTTTGAAATATTACTAGGATAAGGAGAGGATGACAAATAATAGAGTACTTATTTTGTATTTTTACCCTATATATTAATATGTTTTTAATTTTTTAATATTTATATATGCTAACTAAAATTTTATCAGGATTTCAATTTATATTTGATTAATGTGTGTGTTTTTTTTTGTAAGTTTTTATTTAGTTTAATAAACATTGAATATTTTAAATTTTTATTTAAAAAAAAAAACCACAAGTAATAAAAAAATTTTATACCTGCCAAATCTTTATGAGGATAATAATAAATATAAATTTTTATCCACTATAAATATAAGAACCAGAATAAAGATATTAAAAAACAAAAAACAAGAAATGTTCTATCCATTTCTTATCAGTCCTGTTAACATTCCTACTTAACCTTATGGACCAAGGCAAGCTCAACCCACAAGGCCACAACCGCATGTACAAAGGGGATATCCTATGCTTTTACCAGTCAATTTTGTATTTCACCATGCTCTTTACATATATCTTGTTTTTCCTTTTTAAATATGTTAAAAACTAATTTCAATCTTTCGTTTATAAATTTTTTATATGGGATTTTTTAATTTAGAAAAAAAAAACAATTTGAGTCTAATTAAAATTTTTATGTAAGAAATACATGTAGATCATAAAACAAAATGTTGGATGCATTCATTTTATTAATTTTAAGTGTACTAATTTACTTTTTTTTTTAATAAGAAGAAACACGAGTATGTATAATTTATCTTCTATTACCCTCCAAAGAAGCTCAGTGTCGATGTCAAGCTTCTCTAAATAATTAAATTTCTGCTGATTCATGACATCGCGTCTAATTAAACAAAAATTATTAAGAAAAAAATCTCAAGTCAAATGTTAGCATGAAAAATTTACACTTTTCTAGAGGTGATATTCAAGTAAACAACAGAACTTAGATATGAGTAATTGATTTTTTTAATAATTAAATTGATAGTTTAAAGTTCCAATTGAGAGCGTGGTTGAGTACGTTTTATGATTGAACACTTAATCAATCATTAGAATCAGACCACACCTTATCAATAGTATTATGTTTGAAAGTTCTTAAAGTATCATTTATAATAATATGATTAATTAGACAGACCAAAATATTGTACCAACTTGGTTCCTTTAAAATTCAATTAAATTACTTTCTGGTAAAACAAACTACAAACATAGGGATAAAATAATGTTTTATTGGTTGGATATTGAAGGTTGCCAAGGCATCATGATTTCATGCGTTCAAAATTCCACCTATGAAAACTTTTTTTCTGCTAGTTTTCTAATTTCTAGTGTTAGTTAAGCTTTGCTGTGTGTTAAATAGTTGTATAGTGAGTGTCATTTGTGGGTATTACTTAAATTAGTTTAGCTTGGTTGGTTAAATGTTAAGTAATTAAGAAACAATAATTTAGCTTAAAAGATTAAACATTGTGAAGGAAATAAAAATCTGGGATTTTTTTTTTGTTGTTTTCTGATATCTAAAATTAAAATAAGTGTTAGGTGCTTCTGATATTTCAGATTTGGTGGTGGAGTAAGTAACCCATGAAGTCATTTCTTTTTCCTTTCTCTTTTCATGAATCAAAAACTTTTATTATTTTGTCTATATGAAATAGTAAATTGGAAATTCAGCCCGACTTAATTCAGTTAATTATTATTAATAAATTCAAATTTTAACTACCTTCCTAAATTGAGACCTCCCTTATATATAAAAGTGACAATTTGAAAATGGAGCCTTGGTTCATTGATTCCTTTCCCCCTCTCATCACGTTAGACTTTGGGTGGTAGTGAGAGGGAGAAGGTTGTACATGCTGGAACCCGAAAAAAAGTCGGTAGGCCGAGCTGAAAGAAGCTTCCCTGACATGGTAAGTGGGACCCGGAATCCGATGGAAACGTGTCGTTTCGTATTTCCCCTATCCAATCAAAATTAATCATATCCCAACTGTGGTCAAAGCAGTTGCTATTATTTTACTAGTTAGCTCTTTTGATTAAGGATCGATTATTGTTGAGTGTTGGTATAAAGCCAAGCTCAACAATGCATAAAGTAAAATCCCCACTGACTTGAACTTTACTTCTTTTTTATATAATTTGGGTTTGTTAAATTTTTACATTTTTCTTACTTTTTGGCTTAACAAAAGTAAGCTTCCTTTTCTTGACATGGCATTGCACAATCAAGTGTTATCAAGTCTTTTCTTAAAACTTGTAACTAAATTATTACCACCCTTTTTCCTTTCAATCAACTATATATATATATATTATTTCATTCACTATATATCATTAAAAATTTATAAATTTATAAGTGAAATTAATAGGATGATACATACTTTTATAATTTATTAAAAAATAAATTAAAAAAAACAGCTATTAGTTTCTTAATTCAGCTTATGGAATTAAAAATTTTCATGAATAATATATAAAAAACCGAACTTATATAAAACTAGAAATGATAATTTTACCAATGCGTTACTTACTTCTCGCCCAAAATGAGTGCGGATATAGAAAAAATTTTGTACCCGATTAAAGTAACTGGGTTAGGAGATGGAGGCGAGTGAGGTGATACCCACCTTGTGGGTCACCCAATGCCCAATATATATAATATATATATATATATATTTTTTTTTTCATTTCTCTTTTTTTATATAATTAACATAATATATAACTTACAAAAATGAATTACATACCATTTTATTAAATGAAATTTTCTTTTGGATTTTATTAAATTGTTTAATTTAGATATATATCATATAATTTTTTAAATTATTTTATTATTATTTTTAAAATTATAATCGGATATTCAGATAAAATTCAAGTTATCCACAGAATACGGGGATGGGTATACAAAAATATTATCTGATAAGCAAGGGTATAGAAACGGGTATGAATATCATAATCGGGTATGGGAACAAAATGTGTCATACCCACCTCCTCGATAGTGATCCATTGTCATCCCTATATAAAACCCAAATTTATATTTTCGATATTCAAAAATATCTTTTATTGTTCATTTCAATAAGTTGTTATAATATATTTTAATTATTTTATTATATTTTCACCATTGTAATTTTAAAAAATTTTTTTATCGTGGATTCACCTTTAACAAAAATGAAAAAAAAAAAAAAAAAGAGCAAGTAAATTTTCTTATAACTTATATAAACATGCATGACAATTGACAAAGCCCTTGTTTTATTGCAAATTGAAATAGCAAAGAAAATATAAAAGTGAAATACTATCAAAGGAGGATAACACAATGGATGGAGACCAACCATTTGAGATGTGTCTTTTAAAGCTGTAATTTTCTCTTCTTTGTATCACGTATTTGGCCATCTAATGAAAATCGATTGAATCACTTTTCTCCATCATACAAAAGTTTAAGTAAACATAATTGGCTCCTTGCTTAATTAGTAGTTTGGCAAGGTTTGTCATAAAAAACATCATTTCCTACGCATATATATAAAACTTTTTATCACAATCAACAAGTCTTCATTATACTTATCCTTTTCTCACATGTAACATCTTACATCAAGAAAAAATTTGCATGAAGTTTTTTAAGCAAAATTTGCAAAGTTCTTCTTAAAAATGATTTAATAAAAACTTTCATAAAAACTCCAAACTGATAAATTGATAAAATTTAATGTGAAGATAAATAATATGTAAAAAATAATTATTAAAAATATTATTTATAATTCAAATTTAATTGATACTTTTTCAACGATTAAAATTCTACCAAAATTTTTATTAAAAATGTTTATATAAAAAAATATAAAGATTTAATAAATTTTTTTCAAAATTTATACACTTAATCTATGTAACAAGATTTTTTAATTTATTTTTTATTTAATCATTTTTAATTAAAAATTTCACCAACTTTATCTAAGTTTTCCCTCTTTTGTCAAATCTAAGGCTTTTATATAAACACCAACACACCAACACGTTCATTTCATTACACAAACAAAAGTAGAGAGGTCCCTCACTCTCTTTTTTCTGTTCTTCATCTTCCGCTTTCATTTCCCTAAAACCCAATTTTCACACATTAAAATTAAACAACCCAACCCCCCGCCCCCCTTTTTTTTTCCTCTCTAACTCGTTTTCACTCACACTTTGTATCTACCATGTCGGACAAGGATTGCGGCAACCATGGCAAAGGCCGCCGAAAATTCTTCCGCAGACTAATCGCTTGCATTCTATTCTTCATACTGCTTGTTCTCATCACAATCTTACTCATTTGGGCAATCCTTCGTCCAAGCAAGCCCAGATTCATCCTCCAGGACACCACAGTCTACGCTTTCAACGCCTCGACCCCGAATTTCCTCACTTCCAATTTCCAAGTCACCGTATCTTCTCGGAACCCGAATGACGAAATAGGAATTTACTACGACAGGCTCGACGTCTACGCCACGTACAGGAGCCAGCAAATCACCCTCCAGACAGCACTCCCTCCAACTTACCAGGGTCACAACGAGATCATTGTCTGGTCCCCTTTCATCTACGGGAACATGGTCCCTATCTCTCCGGACTATTCCGTGTCTTTGGGTGCCGAACAGGCTGCTGGGACCTTTTTCGTGACAATCAAGATTGATGGACGGGTGAGATGGAAAGTTGGAACTTTTGTTTCAGGTGGATACAATCTTTATGTTACATGCCCGGCTTATCTTACTTTCGGAAGCAGAAGTAACGGTATCATGGTCGGAGATAATGCTATTAAGTTTCAGTTCGTGACCAGATGCAGCGTTAGTGTGTAAAAAAGACTTGAGGAAGAAGAAGAAGAAGAAGAAGCAACCAACGCTGTTAATTATATCGTTCGTGTATCTCTATCTTAATCTCTCTCCCTCGTTTTTTATTTGACGCCGTTAGTATTTTTATTTTATTTGTTGTAAGGGGAGGGAGGGAATTGTACATTTTGCTATAGAATAAATGAAGGGAAAAATATGAAAGGAGAGACTGATAGCAAAATTTACAATCAAATATGTGAACAAGTTGTAGAGGTTTTTAATTTCTAAAAAAAAATCGTGTGATTAATTAATAAGAATTAATTTTCAATAGATAGTAATTGAGCAATTAGTGAAAGTTGAGTTGTCTATTTCATTTAGAAATGAATTTTTTTTTCCAATATTGCTTTCTTATTTATTGTTTACTCTTCATTTAATTTCTTTTTCAGTTTTATTCTTCTTAAGAAAAAGGGAATATTTTCAACCTTAATTAGGTGTCGCTTCTATTTATTATAATAAATAATATATTTAAAATTATCAATGACTGAAATTTAATATTTTATCAACCAATCACATAATTATTGTTTATTTTTTTTATTTTTTATAATCGGCTTCATGTACATCTTTAACCTGGATTTATTTTTTATTTTGTATTTTTTAAAGGTTATTTCATTCAACAAAAAGGTAAAAATTATTTTAATTTAACTTGTCCATCAAAATCAAATATAGAATAAAATGTAGCTATCAATTTAATGTAGTGGGCCATTTTAAAACGGGTGGTCTAAGTATAAGTTAACAGTTGACATAGAAAGATAAGAAACAAGAAAAGGATGGGATGAAGCCGTTGTAATTCTTTTATGTCATATATCTGAATTCAATTGCATTTTTTTTCCTTCATAATTTGACCCAATCTTTTTTGGATAATTAATTTAACCAAAATCTATGGAGTAAAAGCTAGAATTGTGATATTTTATTTTGTTGATATTTGAGATTGTTAAAATTTAATTTGTATCATTAAAATTAATCATTTAATACTTTATCAATAAATTACATAATTATTGATTAATTGATAATATCTTAATTTCTAACTAACATCGGTTAAAAAAAATATTCGGCTTCAAACTTGTTTTCACTTTTCACTAAAATAATAGAATGATTAAGAGATAATCAAGATCAAATGATAAATTAATTCTTGTTTTTTATTTAAAGGATTAAAGAAAGGAAAATACTAGTAGTAGTAGACAAAGTTGAGGAATTGGAAAAGGAACTACTTAGCCTTGAATGATGGGGAATTGGGATTAGGTTGAGTAGGAAGCATATCGTTTGCAACGGTTATAATATTATTAACTAATCATAATTCACAATTATATGAAATCTATTAAAATTTATATGAATTTCATATTTATAAGTAGTGAACCTTTACATAAATTTTTTTTTAATTAAACAATTACTATATTATAATAAAATAATATAAATGATATGTTATCGATTCTCAAATTTAGTATTTTCCTTATGGAATTTCAGTGGTGGTCATTTTCACTCTACACCGGATCCTACCCAACAATAATGGCGTGCTAGAAAGGGACTTTTGTAATTGTCTACTCTTAAAATCGGTCCTCATCTTCCTATCTTTAAATTAATCAAAATTTCATCCCACCCATCGCATGTTAATGTTTAGTTTCTCTACATATTTTATTGGGAAGGGATAGTGTAATATGCTGAGAACTCATTACAAAGTTCACAGCAAATTTTTGTTTTTTTTTTTTAACAACATTCACACCCCTTCTTGTGTTATTTTGTCAAAATCAAACAAGATCGTTTATATAAGTTATTTTGTTAAAATCAAACAAGATAGTTTATGTAACAATCTGGATTTTATTTAATCGTGCTTTTTTTTTTTTAAATAGAAAGGTCGTAATCTAAGATAGTTTATATAACACCCCCTTCCATCGCACTATCCCCAGGTACCAAACCTGTCCAGATAGCATTTACCTTTTTGAAACTAAAAGAAGAGGGACGCCGTGCCGGTTTTATTTGCTTCTTGGTGGGATATGACGTCCCTTTCTACGAGTCACCAGCCGCGTGTGAGCAGAGATAATGGTGGGGTTTAAATTGTTTTATGCCTATTGCCCTATATATAAATGCAATTATTTAAGATTTTGAAGCCAATCACATGCAGTTCAAGCAATGCCATCTTTGCAGTGCTGGCAGAACCTTGGATTTGGGCCAGATGGACCTGACAACCGACTCCTAGTCGACTAGATGTATCCCACAAATTGACTAAAATTTAGCTTAAAGTAGGTTTGGTTGAATTTATCTCTCGCTGTGTTTATATTCTTCGATCAATCCTGAAGGTATATATCTAAACAGAACTCAAATCCAAATATCATTAAGCTTGTCTTGACAAATTAACTGAAGGGACATTATCTACATAATTTCTAAAATTTGATTGGTTTCTGCTCATGGCTTCCAATATTCTTACACAGTAAATCAATTCCTTTTTGCATGGACCCTCCGGAGAAATATAATGTCCTTACATGTGATTTTTGTTGGGAAACAGCAGGTTAAAAATTGGAAGGGCAAAGCAAAATATTGTTGAATTGCACTTAATAAAATTATTAAATTAAGGTCAACTTCGAGAAGGAGGCACAAACATAAATAGTAAATCACTCTTATGGTATATCTTATATCTTATATAAATATATAAAATTCAAAACTTTAGGTAAAAAATGAAATAGTCTTACTTCAATAACCTGCATTTTATCATGTGAAGAGATTTAAAAAATTGCCATGTGTCTTTTAATAAATACATTTAAATTATTTGAAATGTTTTTATTATTTAAAAAGTAATTAATGAGGCTAAATTAATTACATTTATTCTCTTTTAAATACCTAATGTTCTTACCTTATATGAATATTTCTTATATGAAAAAGTTGCAATTAACTTGGTTAATAATACAAATAAACTAAATGGAAAGCTAATTAATTAGGGCACTAAAATATATATTTTTCTTTTTAAGCACTCTAATATACATTGCTATAAAATATTATTAATTTATTAAATGATAGTTTTTATGCATTCCATAAATTGCTTTCATTACTTATACTTTTAGTTTTTAGTCAACTTATCTTATATCTTATATAAATATATAAAAACCTAAGCCTTTGGTAAAAAGAAAAAAAATCCAATGTAGATAATTTATTTTTTTGACATGTGGACTCTTTTAACAATTGTTATATGTCCTGCATTTAATTATTTTGATTTGATTTCATATACATTGTATTAATTTAAAAGATATTTAGTTGGCTAAATTAGGTGATTTATTTTCTTATAAAAATCCAGTATTCTTGACTTTTATAAATGTGTTACAATTAAATTATCTTAAATCATTTTTAACCAAATTCAGTTCTTAATTTTAAACATTAAACATGTATACTATAAATAAGAAATATGTTTTGAAAGCATTAACTATTAATGACCATGATTTTAATATTTAATTAGGAAATAGTTTATGTATTTATTAACCTAAATGAATATAGAAGGCATATACTGCTAAAAATTCAAACCTAAAATAAAATTGTAATTAACTGAAGACATATTTTTCTATTTCTTTCTATATAAGTATTACTTACAATTGGTATATTTTATTGTCTTACAAAAACTTTTCAAAATAAAAATATATTACATAAATAATTAATAACCCATTACAATATTTTGCATAAATTACTATTAATTTATAAAAGTCTCTCAAATTTTTATTATAAATAGAGAATCTTGTATGCTAACGGTACTAGGAGGTTACTCTTCAAAAATCTCCAAATGTATTGATTTCATTATGATAAAAAAAGTTTTTTATTACCAAATTATATGTTTTTTATGTTCATAGACTTTTTTCTTTTAGACGTTTATTGATTACTTTTATTTCTCTTTTATTCGCTTTTTTGTGCATGTTCATATTTCATCTATCCATTCATTTTCAATATTAGTTTTTTTTTTTTTTTTTTTTTTTTTTTACTTTTGAATGGAAGAGTTTTATATATTTTATGTCTTTTCAGTCCTTGGAGATTTGATATAATTTTTCTTCATGACTAATAATTGATGTCATGAACAAGTAAGATCTTTTAGTTAAGTTTGGAGTTTGCTAGAATTTGGCACAAGGTTTTGCTCTCCTATTTACCTTTTATTTACAATTTATATATGTTTGATATGTAATATATGATTTCTATTCCATTTGCCAAAAAATGCAAATTCAATTTAAACTACTTTGACCTTAATAAATGCAATATAAGGACGAACACCACCTAGCCAAGAATTTGATGTTGTTATTGTGAGTTCTAAATATTTTTTACTAAAATAAGGGGCAGCACTAAGTGAAAGTTTCTACAAAAGATTAATTTTAAGTAGATAAATTTCTATCGTTTGGATTCAAATATTATATAATTTTGTATAAATGTCACTATTAGATAAGATATGATACAAAGTTTTTTTTTGTATATTATATAGGTATATATTAATCTAAAATATTATTATTTTTTTATTATTTTACATTGAAATTTTTATTTTTTTATATAAATTTATTAATTATATTATATACAATTGAATTATATATATATAATTGGAAATCCGTGTATCGCACACTATTAAAAATAATTTACCTATAACTTATAACTCTTACTAGATCAATTAGTAATTGCTCAAAAAAAAAAAAGGATTAGTAAAATTTAGATACATAACTAAATCCAATTAATATGCTTTTTTCAAGGAAACAGGCGCAACTTTAAAGGATTTGCAAACAATTTTTGCTATATATGAATGAAAATTGACAACCATCTCAAATTTCAAATAAATAAATTAATAATCCAAGGTGTTATGTCATATCTGTCTATTTCATAAATTAATTCACTTTCAGTAGTTATAAAATGTTTCTGTTTCATAATTTTTTTACACTTGAAATTGTAATGAATTAAATTTAATTATTGAAACTAACAATCCAACATTCTATCAACATACTAAATCATACTGAATCATATGACTGGCAGCATATCTATTTCATAATTTATTTATTTATTTTTATAATTATAAGGCTGCAATGTACAAAGTTGGGGTAAGACCTTAAGAACGATTTATTTACAGTAATGAGTAGTTAAGTTAATCCACTTGGAAAAAAAATATAGTAAATTAAATCCAGGAAAGATATAGGCCGGGTTTTATTTATTTTGCCAATGGCCTTTCTTTATTTGAATAATAGTATCTGAATGCAACCTCCACCATTATGGTGAAAATTAATAAATAAAATAAAGAGGATGAAAGTAATAGAAAGATTCTTATTCATAGAACTGTTGTAAGAAGAAATTAATAATCCTATCTTTATAAAATTTTTACTATTCAATTAACAAAATTAAAAAATATCATTTTAAATATTTGTGATAAAACCTACATTTGAAAACTATTACTATAATCTTTTTTAGTAATATTAGAGATATGGGTCATTGAAGTCTTAGTCCTGAATTGGGTAGCATATCATATGTGATCTACATGGATTTTGGTTGAAATTTTCTCACTGAATTTTCTTACATTTTTGTCATAACAAATATACGCTTTTTGGTATTTAAAAAAAAAAAAAAAGAAAAACTTGTTTGATTGAATATTGTAACAAATCTGAGATCATAATTTTCAGTTTTCACTCGTGGAGTTAGTGCCTGAATCACTTAAAGAAACTCCTTCACCAAATCTGATGTTGGTTTCGGTAAGCATCTTCATTACCAAATTTATTTAACCCAAAACAACATGATCTCCGAAGTTCGATCCCTAGTGTCTAAGCTCACGCATCAAAATGGAAATGACATCTTCATATTTATTCAGTCATTCACCACCTTCTCGAATTTAGTGTGCCAATAGATCAAAGACTTATTCAAACTATTTGGGTTAATATAGAAGTTGGAATAGTATTTATTAATCATACAATTATTGGATTCTTAATTTTAAAGATCAAAATTCAATCTTTCACAATTTTAAATATAAAAAAATTATAAAGTGCCAAAGTCAAAGAAAATGAACTTTGAAGTCTCCGAGCAGCACCTAATTAAATCACCGGTTCCCACCCAAAACACAAACATCATAAGATAGAGACAGTGACGAGGAAGTTACAGGCATTCTATTTTATTAATCCCAAAAAACCTTGCTTAGCCCTCGAGCCTTACTCGCCCACATTTGACAAAGCAACCGCGTTAATTGAAGACGGCACCAGTGCATCTCCAATTCATTGTATTTATTAACGTGTTCTTACCATGCCCTTACTCCCCAAGTCCCACTTATTTCGAGTCTATATATACATTTCAAGAGCTTCTTTTCCCCGTATAATATTCGTCCGTTCATTTCTTTCCTCAACTTTCCAAAAGAAACAGATTTTCTCTACTGGTTTCTTGTTCTTGTTTTTTACATGGCTGAGAAACAAGCGCATCTGAACGGAGCCTACTATGGCCCCTCAATTCCACCAGCTACAAGGAACTACCACCGCCCTGGCCGTGGCTCAGGTTGCGGATGCTGCTGCTGTCTTTTGAAGCTCCTCTTCAACACCATCATCACTGCTGTGGTCGTCATTGGCCTTGCTGTTCTCATCTTCTGGCTCATCTTCCGTCCCAACAAGGTCAAGTTCCATGTCACAGACGTCTCACTCACTGAATTCAACCTCACCACCGACAACACTTTGCATTACAACCTTGCTGTTAATATGACAGTGCGTAACCCAAACAAGAGAATTGGCATATACTATGATAGTATCGAGGCAAACGCTTATTACGAGGACCAAAGATTCGCTACGCAAACTTTGACCCCTTTTTATCAAGGACACAAGACTACTAGTTTCTTGAACCCTGTTTTCAGGGGGCAGCAATTCGTTGGGCTTGGGGCTGACCAGACTTCCAAGTTTAATGCAGAGAAGACTCTTGGGATTTACAGTATTGATGTGAAGTTGTACTTGAGGATTAGGTTCAAGGTTGGCTGGGTGAAGACTGGCAGGATCAAGCCCAAGATTTCTTGTAACTTGAAGGTTCCTTTGGACTCCAATGGTAGCTTGGCTGGTACTCCTGAAACTACCAAATGTGGTTGGGGTTTCTGATCAGCAGTGGTCGAGTCTTTTATTCTATTTTCTTTGGGATTTACACTATTTATTCTTTTGCTTTTTTGGCTTTTTTTCCAGTAGATATACATTGTACAGTGGTCTTGGGTTTGAGACATACACTGATTATTTACTTTTTTGTTTCATGGGTTACGTTTTGTTACATTTGTGTGAATAAATAATGACTTTTAATGGTTGTTCTAATTTTTCTTCTTGATAATAATGTTGAATTGATGTTGGTTACTTTTTTCTTAATCCAATCAGATGTTTCTTTTTTTCAATTAGAAATATAGGAATCTGATCGTTTCAACTTCTAAAAAATCCAGGGGGTTCGTAAGCGAAAGCAACTGGTATTAGAAAATAAATGTGGGTTTCAATTGAAAATAGTTGTTGACAATTGACAAAATTCAATTAAGTAATACATGTGACAATCTTGCCTATTAAAATAAGTAACTGCTAAATGTTGACCACATAGCAGAAAATACCCAAAGAGAAAACAAAGAAGATAAAAAAGAAAGAAATTGAAAAAATCTAGTAGTAGAAGGTTATGTTTTGGAATTAGACAATGGCAAAATGATGATTGTTTGGTTAGTGCAATAGGAAAGCATATATACTTTCAAAGCTTTCTCGTTAAGCTGATTAATTATGCACAAGGAATGAATGTCATGAGATTAGCTCTATGATTTCATCTCAGAATTAGATGTCTTGTGCTTATATTTTCGTTCTTTTTCTTGTTCCTCTATCAATGTTTCTTATGACTACCCCTTTGTTTGGGCAATGGGGCAATTAAGTTTTCTCTAAGCTCGAACAGTCATTTCGGGCTAAATGCACTTGTTCTTTAGCTTAAACACCCAGCAGGCTACAGCCTACAGGCTAAAGATGAAAATTTTGAGTCTACAAATGCAACAATGGGCTGGAGAGAGCCCCTCTTCCCACCGGATATCGGCTGGCAACGGCGAAACTCATCAGTGTTGTCTGGTCTAGATTGAAATTAAGACTTTCCATCCAGAGGCTAAACCCAAAAATAGAACTAGTAGGAGATGCCATAAATGGGTTGGAGAAGTGGGTTTGTTGGTTTTAGGGCTTTTCTGTATGTGTTTGAGATTATAATTTCTTCCTGTAAATTGAAGGAGGAGATCAAGGGATGAGAAAAGAAAGAAGTTACCGTTAGCTGGTCTTGACACGGGCAAACGGCAAAAGCAGCTTTCGCTGTTGACATCAACGAAGCTTATGGGCTGTGTGAGTTTTGGTGAGATCAGTCTTTTGAGTGTTGCGAGAAAAAAGAGAGGAGTTGTGCTAGGAAATTTCCTCAAATTTGGGATTACTTGGCTGGAAAAAATCACTTCCAGTTGGCTGCCCTACCAAAGTGCCCCCTGCAACCCTAATAAAATGATACTATTATTTTCCGATCTCTAAATTTTATAAATTTTTTTAGACATTTTTATTCATTGCAACATATTTCTCTTGCTAAACTATTCTTTATACTAATCAAAGTATCAAATTACTATTTCATGTTTAAAGTTTAAGCAATTGCTAATAGCCTCCAATTCTTAAACTCAGAAACCCGACTTTCCTATCCGTCAAAACGTCACTCGCCGGCGAGCTTACGTGATTTTTCTGGTGACAATATCAAAATCCCAACATCGCGACCAGGAGAAGATGAAGGAGTAAAGTAAGGAGGTGATGCACACGGCGTTGAGAATGGCGTCGTTTCCTCCACATCAACTACAACGTCATCAGCCATTTCGACCGGACCCGAAAAGCAGTCTGTCAAACAAACTCGCTTCTCGCTTTTCGCTTCACTCTGATCAGCAGAATTCTCAACGTTATCAGCTCCTTCCCTGGACGATCCGTACATTGCCTGCCACTTCGCCAACTCGTCATCATCTGCTTCCACGGCGGCTGCCTCTGAATCTGCCGCCTTGGTAGCCTCAGTTGGCTTTGGAGACACCACCGCAGGGCCAGAGGAAGGTTCCACATAGGCTGGTTTGTTTATCCAGCAGAAGAAGTAGAGAAGTTCCTTAGAGGGAGCAGGGTAGAAAGGTGATGAATTTGAAAACTCAGAGTCAATGGAACAGGTTCCGCCGCTGACGACGCTGCGTTCACGGAACCTTCGTTTTCGCCAAAGGACGTAAACCAGATCAACGATAAGAGCTAAAAGGCATGTTGCTAAGATAACGATGAGGGCTATTTCAAGCTTGGTTGAAGCATTCATGGCGAGTTTTGCTTTTTTCTTTTCTTGATAGTCTTCACCGTTTTAGCTGATGTTAAAACAAATGAAGAGTCAGCTGAGGATTTGTGGTGCCAGAAAAGAGAGGAAAAACAAGAAGGGTGTTTTTTATTGGCGAGGAAACTGTACATTGGTGGATGCTTTTTCTTGGAAAAATGAAGAGGGAAACGAAAGTGTCAGAGTTAATGTCTAGATAAGGGAGTGACCTGGAATTTGTATAGTGCAAGTTTTGTACTAATTTGATTTTTTTTTTTATTGAGAATTAGTATTTATTGTTTATTTTTAATGGCAATAATTGCAATTAGATTTATAAATATATAATGATCAAAGATTTCTAAATAAGTAAATCATTTTTGTATTAAAGCTATTTCAAGAAATTATAATTCTTATTCATACTTCATATAAATCTTTTTACTATTACTTAATATTATAATTGAAAATTATAATTAGTAAAAACTATTTAAAATGTCAATTTAAATATATATTAATATTTATTTTCATTCGTTAATCAGAACATTTGATCGATTTGATTAATTTAATTATAAAAATTTAAAAATTAATACAACTGATTTTATTTATTAAAAAATCAAACTGATAAACTAATAAAATAAAAACTAAAAATTAGCGAACCTACTTAAGTCTCTCAGTTATAATCAGTCTCTTTGGTTCTGTTTTATTCAATGACTCTTTAAAGTTCTTGAAAGAAATAAAGAAATCACAGAAATATCAATGCAATGAAAATCTTTGAATATAAAGTCCTGATACAAGAAATCACATCAATCGGATAAAAAATACATTTAGAAGGAACATCACATAGATCCATGGCATCTGATGCTATGATTCACGATAGTATAATGCACCCAGAAACAACTTGCACTGACATCTCATACCCATCACTTCGGGGCAAACAAAACAATCTACTTTCAAATTTAAATAGAAACAAGCGATCATTCCATTAAGAGGTGGATTGTTCAAGGTCAAGGGCAATGACTTAGCATGTACAGAAACTGAGCAGTGAATATTTCTCGTTCACAGATTGAAGAGAGAACATTGAAGTACAAAAGTCCAACTACCCTGGTGTCTGTGAGGATAGGAGAGGCTGAGCAACCGAGAGGTGAGAGGATTGGTGGCGCGAGATGGCTGAGGAGGGGAGAGGCTAAGCCAAAAAGAGGGTGTGAGGGAAATTAGAGAAATTAAGAAATTAGGGTTTCGCTAAAATCTAAAAAGAACAGGAGTAAAATAATTAAAAGGTGAAAAATATTAATAACATTTTATTTAATTTAAATATTTAATTATTATATTTTGATTTTTTTCATGTTCGAATATCAAAATGCAACATAAAAAATCGACCATTAAATCCGACTAAACCGATATTCTAATTGAACTACTCTTTAAAATTAAATAAATTGACTCGATTTAGCCAAAATGAATTATTTTTTTCGGTTTAATGGATTTGAACTGAGTAATACTCAGCCTTAATCATATGCATCACATTGAATTTTTTTAAAATAATAATTATATATTAAATATAAAATTACATATTATACAAATGACTGAAAGTAATAAAGTACATAATAACTTAAATTTGTATTAGCACATAAAATTAAAACTCTAAAAAAATAATTCAATGTAAACTTTAACTTCTTTATGTATAAATAATTTCATTGCTTAATAAAAGTCTTTTCGTAAAATTAAAATTCTCATTTATAAATTGGACTTGTAAGTACCAATTTTGTTTGATTCTATTTTACATAAATATAATTTTGTTTCTATTATTATTATTATTATTTATTAATTAATCTTAAAAATAATAAAAATAATAAAAAAATTATTTTAACTCTGGCAGCTAAAATCAAACTGTCAAAAGATTTTTCTTTCCTAAAGGTCAATGCATTTAATGCATCAAAACTCTCTACTGGCTAACTTAATAGCATAAAATTCAGTGATCAAAATTCACTAGATAAATTTTTTCATAAAATGATCTCAAAAATTTTGGGATTTGAATCCCAAAAGCTCTATAAATAGAGCTAATTCTTGTCAGGAGAAAAAAAGACACGGTGAACTAGAGAAGCAAAAACATTGCTAGAAAGAAAAAATAAAGAGTACTTTTAGGATTGCTAGGTTACCACCATTCAAAAAGAAAGCAACACACACAAGCAAAAAAAGATCACATTCCTTTTTTATGAAGGAGCCAATAACAAAGCAAAAATAAAATTCTAAAAATAAAATTATAGATTTTCTTTTTAAAAATTATTTTAAGAAGGATGTTTGGAAAATCAAAAGAGTTGCTTTAAGTATTTTTTTGATTTTTTGGGTTGTTGAACACTGAAAAAGTTTGAATTGTTTGGTAATCATTGAATTTTACGACCATCGAAAATTGGTAAATTAGCCGGAATTTGGATTTTTAAACTTTTCGATACCGGTTGAAGTTTCTGACCACCAATGCACAACGAGAATTGGTTAAAAATTAAGCTCTACAATAGCCAACGAATATGGGCTGATTTTAAAGAGAGAGACTCTTATTTTTAAAGAGAGAGTGAGAAAGTGAAAAAAAAAAGCCTTTTATAAACTAAGTGAAACGATGCCATTTTGGAGTTTGGATTCGCACTCGACCTGCGCCTGATCCAACCCGTTTGGTTAAATTTCTCTTTTTTTTTATTTTTTGTTTTTATTATGATTTTTTTATTTTATGTTGATTTTTTTGTTTTTATTAAAAATAATTAAAAAATAAAAATAAACTTAAAATAAAATATAAATTTGGTAAATTAAAAATAATATGCATAAATCTTTTTTTTAATTCCTTAAAAAATAATAACTATTTAAGGAAAATAAAATTTTAGCAAGCAAAATGTAATTTAAATTTCACTAAAGGGTTGGGATAATTTAAAAAATAATATTTGCTAAAAACTAATAAACTAAAAAATAAAAACTAAAGAATTGTTTAAGTTAATCTTTTAAATATAACTTTTAAAGAAAATTAAAAAAGTATAATTTTCTTTAATATAAGTAAACGATTAATATTTTTAGATTTCATAGGTGAGTCAGAATAATCTAAAATTTTTTTATATAATAAAAAAGATAAAAACAATAAATAGCAAATAATAACAAAAAAAAATCACAATAAAAATTAATTAATTAAATCCCTCAATTATCATCAATAAAAAATAATTTTATTTAAAATCTAGTCATAAAATTGAGATAATCCTAAAATTTGTTCAAAATTTTTAAGATTTGCTGAAGAGTCGGCATAATCCTAAAATTTATTTAATAAATTTTGGGATCTCACTAAAAAGTTAGCATGTTCCTAAAATCATTTTGTTAAATAAATAAAATATCTTATGACAAGATTTTGAAAATTTTGTGAATAGTCAATTTTCTCAAAATATTTTTTAAATAATGATTTTCTATAAATTTCTTCAAAACGTTGAAAAATTTATAAAAATATGAAATAATAATAATAACACTAACTTCATAACAAAAAAATATATTTTTCATAAATAAATTTTAAAAAATTAAATTTAAATATAAAAAAGATTATATCATCAAAATAAAAGAATTAATCAAAATAAAAGAATTATACATATTTAATTGGTACTGTTCTTTAAATAAGTGATATGAGAGTGTTAATACATTCTTCATTAATAACTGTACTCTCAGACTTAATCTTAATTTCGTAAACTTAAATCTTAATTAATTTTAAGATTTTATTAAAATATAATTTTTTATATGATCAATCATACCTTATAAAAAAATATTGATGACAATTTTAAATTTTTTTTAAAAATCTAATGACCGAATCCCTCTAGACAAAAAATCATGACAGGACCTTAGTTGACTTTTTTTTATAAATATTATTCATAAAAATTATCTGTAAGTCTAATTATTTATATGAATAAATTTTAGTTTTTTAATCATACGTACAGGAGAAAGTATCTTAACATTGATCTACAAATCTTTACTATATATTCTTTTTCCATTTTAGCTATCATTTTTGCATTACTAATTGTACTTTATTACATCCATCCTGATATAAAACTTTTACCTATGTTTAATTTAACGAACCGTCTCATCCAAATAGTCAATTATTTCATCATATAAATGCTCATATATTCAATCATTATAACTGACTTGAACATGACAATTAATTATATTAAATTTTTGTTCTTACTTCAAGGAATTCTAAATTTGAAAATTTACAATTCGATTATAAATTTTAATTTAGTTGATTTATATATTTATCTTTAAAAAAATTTATTTATTTTTACCTCACATGTAAAAAAAATTCACTATTTGTACCTAAGGAAATGATAGATGACATACAATAAACTTCTTTTTTTGGGCAAAAAATGAGAATAGACTTTGCAAATGAATAGGCTACTAAATTCATTAACAATTTATCCGAATAGGAAAGACATGGAACCAACAACTGAAAATAATTAGCATCATTCAATTACTAGTGGCTAAACATATTTAGCCAAAAACCTTTGTTTTTTTTAGAATAAAAAACCCATCATTAGGCTAATGACAATTAAGCTAAATGGGAGATGAAGGACCCACGAAGAAAGTAAAGGCCCAAAGATCTTAATCAAGTTGGTGAAGTGCCCACAGGAACCGGGCTCGTTCTCGTGAACGTTTTGTCCTTTGTTACATATCCTTTTAAAGGGCTTGTGTTGTCGGGGTGAACATCAACCTGGGCCTCTTTGTATTAATACGAGGGCTTAGGACTAGTATATTCAATTTAAATTTTAATCTACCTAATAATCTTTAAAGGTTATATGAACCACAAAATAAGTTTTAAGGTAAACCAATTGTGTCTTACCATATTGGAACTTGCTATAAATTTTTATAGTGAGAGCAAGTCATGCTTAATAGTAAATACACTGATATTTTTTAATATACATAGAAACTATAAAAAACATTCTAACCTTAGATCTTAATCTTCCAAGAGCTGAATCAAACTTGAATTGTTCAATTTTGTGATCTTTCTTTCAATAAAAGTTTAAAAAGTTTCAAGTTAGTATTCTCATACTTCCAGAGTCTTATTCAATGAATATATTAAAATTTAAAATTTTTAAATTTTAAAAGTGGAGT